TGGCTATGTTCTATGTGAGAACATGCTGGTTTCGTTGGCAATAATTATAGCACTGTTACCTGTGGATTCACACAGTATTATTAATAAGATTACTCAACTTTTAGTCTGGCGACCCTATTAGATGCCTTGACAGTTGCTGTTGACTACGTCGTCTCTTTTTTCACATGTGTGAAGTTTTAGCTTTTGTTGTTGATTCCTTTGCTGACTGCCATCGACAGGCGCTTCCTCATCGCTGTGCTCTTCTCAGGACACAACTGACTTGTAGAATGCTCGTAGACGCCCACAGCTGATGCCGGCCCTTGTAGTCGCTCAATTAGTCGATCTCGTAGTTGCTATCGTAGTCGCCAGTCTCTTCATCAAGTCTTTCAGCTTACGAAGACCTTATATAGGTTGCTAGACCTTATATGGCCCTCGGCTTCCGCCCACAGCTGAGGTCTTGATCGCGTGATCTATCACTCACGTGCCTTCCAGATGTTGACTCGTCATCAATCTCCTTCAGGTCAAGTGAATATTACGTCTTAATTACATACAATAATAATGATATAAGGAGACGCCAAATTGACACCGGACAAAAATAAACAAGAATATCGCTATCAGCACCTATAATTGACTTGAAACAATCCACACTGTGTAGAGCAGTTAACTATTCTTACATAACATTGCTCAAAAAACCATGTGCATGTCTTTTTCCACCAATAATTTTGTTGGTTCTAAGACTGAAATCAGTGCACCAACTAAGATTCCTTGTCATTATCAATTTTTTAAGGAATCACGATATCTAAATTGTTTCATTTAAATTAAAAACTGAGGCATATCTAAAGCCATCGCAGTTCATTGATAACTTTATTAGGGAGTTGACAAAAATATTGCGCTACGGATGTCATTGCTCATATCTGAGGGCGATGTCAGCAGTAACTTTTCAACAGAGATCTTATATAAAGACTACCACAAGAAAGATATTTTGCTCCGAATTTCATTGCACTTATCTGAAGCCGATGTCAGCAGGTTCCCTTGTAAAGAATGGTTTAACCATCTACCTCCTGACATGAGTAACCGGAGCAATATTGTGACAAGCCTACTTCCCAAAAAAGGATACGTTGCAGGTGAAGGCAAAATGACTTGCACTGATGGTTGCCGCCACGTACGACAACTTTAAAATGTTTTCTGTTGTGTACAATTAATGTCCTGAGGTTGCTAGAGTCAACAGTGGAAGTATAATTTAATTTTAAAGTTATGTTCCCGGAGAGTGACATACGGCGGTAGAGGGTTAAGGTGCTTGTTGCATATCGAGGTGCTAGTACCCGAAGGAAGTTTTAGCTGATTATATATATTAGTGGCTGATATTACCCCATAGTTTTTCGGACTTCTTTCTTAATCAGGGGAAAGTAGCAAGACGCGTGCTCTTGATGTCGAAAAGTTTGAGTTTTACACACCAGTTGAGGCCTAATTGTCAGTTAGGGAAAATGTGATAAAAATAAACAATATTAAACTGCAGAATATCCAAGCATTTTGCAGGGGTTTTCGTCCTCCAGACATGTAATTTTTGTGGTTCCAGCGGTGATACATTCAGCCGTTTATTATGAAACACTAAAAACTGTTACTTTGAATTAGTTTATTCCTACCAAATTTTCTTGACATTTTGTTGAATGACTAGTTTAATTTGAGCAAGTTTGACTATTATTTTGGTCACTTATGATGGCATGTCATGATTTTTTAGCAAGTGCCTTAACCCTTAAACCACACTCTGTCTATGAAAATGTTCGATTTCTATAAAGTACTCTGTTTCAGATTTTGTTAGACATTTTACTCGTACAATATTTTGGGACCTTCAAAAGCTTTTGATAAAGGTAGAGTATTGATGTTTAATATTTACCTATTTTCGCACTATCTACTTACTACAGAAATGATTTGGCAACATGGGCGTCAATAGGTGTTAAAGGTCGGGGCCCATTCCTTCTAAGATTAATGACCATATTTAAGTTAATAACTGCTTGCATGATTATTTATTTAAACTTATATCGCAAGTGTATATACGATGTGAATATTCGACAGCGAAGACTATCTACTCTGACTTGCCATAGTAAAGAGTAACTTGTCGGTGATCTCGGAGAGAGAAAAAAATAATTTTAAATTTGTTCATACAATTAATACGGATTCGACATTGATTAATCTAGATTCGACGTATATGAACGATGATTCGACATCGATTAATGCAGATTCGGCTTCAGCTACTATAGATTCGACATCGTTCGATGCCGATTATTCGACTCAACGAAGTATTAGGAGCTGAAACTTTGAAGATCTGTACTGAATCGTCATTGCTTGCTCCTCATTAATCCGTGGTGCGTCCCGCAACATTGCCTCCCTACAGTCCCCATCCAAATTGGGTTTTGCCTTCGTTGATCGAGCAGAAATCTGCATCAATATTCTTGATCGAACCATATCATTCTCCGTCAATCGACCAAGACCTGATTGACTGCGCTAAAACTGGCTGAATGATGCCATTGGTGTGCAAGCAATCGATTCTTACCTACAATTTGAATTAATATCTTGCTGATGCACAAATAGAAACCTGAAGTAATTTTAGATATCTGAAGACCTGAAGATTGGGTGAAGAAAATGATTAAAAAATGGAACAGTGTGTGCAGAAATGGTTTAAATGCTTGTGTGAAAAGGGCCTGATTGCGAACGAAAAACTGATAGATAGTTTACCCGGCATATCTTGCGCATTAGCCAGTCACGAAGAAAAAAAAAAAACTCAAGAAACATTTACCTCTGTTCAGTTATTTAAGATCAAAAGAAAATTTAGTGATGGCCATATTTTTGGACAACTTTAATGTTCCGTAGACAAAAATGTATTCAATTTAATACCTACTGTGAATAGACGCACTGCAACTGTCTCTCGTTTTTTTTCGAAGAGTGTTTCTCTATCGAGTGTTGAAGTGGCCACGTACTCATCGTTACACCACCGTTTTATTGGCCACATACCCATCGTTACGCCACCGTTTTAGTGGCCACATACCAATCGTTACGCCACCGTTTTAGTGGCCACATACCCATCGTTACGCTACCGTTTTAGTGGCCACATACCCATCGTTACGCCCCGTTTTAGTGGCCACATGCCCATCGTTACGCCACCGCTTTAGTGGCCACATATCCATTGTTACGCCACCGTTTTAGTGGCCACATACCCACCCATCGTTACGCCACCGTTTTAGTGGCCGCATGCCCATCGTTACGCCACCGTTTTAGTGGCCACATATCCATTGTTACGCCACCGTTTTAGTGGCCGCATGCCCATCGTTACGCCACCGTTTTAGTGGCCACATATCCATTGTTACGCCACCGTTTTAGTGGCCACATAGCCATCGTTACGCCACCGTTTTAGTGGCCACATGCCCATCGTTACGCCACCGTTTTAGTGGACACTTACCCATCGTTACGCAACCGTTTTAGTGGCCACATACCCATCGTTACGCCACCGTTTCAGTGGCTACATACCCATCGTTACGCCACCGTTTTAGTGGCCACATGACCATCGTTACGCCACCGTTTTAGTGGCCACATAATCCATTGTTACGCCACAGTTTTAGTGGACAAATACCCATTGTTACGCCACCGTTTTAGTGGCCACAAACCCATTGTTACGCCACCGTTTTAGTGGCTACATACCCATCGTTACGCCACCGTTTTAGTGGCCACGTACCCATCGTTACGCCACGGTTTTAGTGGCCACAAACCCATCGTTGCGCCACCGTTTGAGTGGCCACATACCCATCGTTACGCCGCCGTTTTAGTGGCCACGTACCCATCGTTACGCCACCGTTTTCCACCGGTCTCGCCGATAGCCTTGGTTGCGCCAATCTTAACGGCGGGGAGCTGCGTCTTGTTGCCTAGCTAAAAGCCCATGTGCATGATTGAAGCAGCTCAACATNCGTCTTGTTGCCTAGCTAAAAGCCCATGTGCATGATTGAAGCAGCTCAACATGCTCATATTGACACATGCTCTAAGATTTCGTTAAGTGGATGTTGCTGTAAATGGCAGTAAGATTTTTAATGTTTACACAATGCAAGCGCGTTACCATGTAGAATGTCTGATTGTTTAAGATAACATTATGACCACATGTTGACTATTTCCGCAAGTTGACGGACACGTCTTATAGCGCGTTGAAAATAATTTGCATGCGTGTTGGCATACTTGTGCAAAAAATCTAAGCATATTGACGTATACGTATCGCGAACGAGTTGATACGAAAGTAACGCACGCATGTCGAAGTGTAAGCCATTCACGCGTGTTGAAGTACAAGGCGATTTATGGAAACCTCCTGTTTCGTATTTCACGCCAAGCAGTCAGATGTTGTGGGAAAAGGACGGAGAATATTTCATATGAAAGGCAAGGTCATTAAGTTTTGTGTCCTGCCTAGTCAGTTGCCACTATGCTTTGGACAAGTGAACAGCGTGCGTTTGCTGTCGAGGCGTACTTTTCTAATGGCCGTTCCATTATCGCTACTCAACGAGCATTCCGTACTCTGTTCCTTATTCGTCATTCAGGTCGGGTTACTAATCGGAAATTGATTGGTACGTGGGTAACACATTTAGGGCAAGTGGAAGTGAGTTTATGGGGTTATCTTAATATCAATGTTTACAGTAACTGTCCCAGGATCTCACCTCACTCGAAGAACAACAAACGCCAAGCCATCTCCAACATACTCGTCAGTATATGCTTCAGCTAGCGAGTTGTATAAGCAATGCACGTGTATTGACGGAAATTCGCCAGCCCGTTGACTCAAACATCAACAAGCCAGCGCCTGAACAAGATGAACATGCGTTAGTAAGACCAGCCGCTTATTTCACATGTCATTCGACAGTTAGATTTTTAGGTCAAGGAACTCTCTAAAAATAGTAACGGACTGGACTGAAACCCCAGAGATGGAACACAAGCGCATTACTAAAGAATTTAGATGAACACCTGAGATTTAATGAGAATATTTCTATATACAGGAGGTGGTGAGATGGTGGCCGAATGTCCACCGGGCTACGTACAGAGAGGCGGCACGAGCGACTGCTACCTCTTCCACAGCGGCAGCAAGAGGACTTGGTACGACGCCACTTCCTACTGCACCAAGCAGAACGGCAACCTCGTCAGGATTGAAACACCGGACTTGACGGTTCGTTTCGGTACTTCCATAGATATTACACTTCTTAAAAGTTTTCAATGACTTCTTAAATTTCTTAAAGCCAGTAGCGTAAAAATATTTTTAGAGAATTTTCTATTTTTTGTTTCAAAAATATATCAAGTAAATCCCATTATTGCGATCGCGTACTCACGTAAATAAGTTGTACCGCTTATTTCGTAGTTTAAATTCTTAAGATCACTTTGGTAAATGGTCAAAGTTAGTTGAAACAAATGAACTATTCAGGTCAAATTGCTAAGAACAAGATTACACCATTGAAAAATTCCTATTTCTCAATGCTTATTCAAATTTCATTCATTTGTGTTTTCGGTGCCTAAATCATTCTAATTATTTAGATACCATACAACATGAAAATTATCATCATGATGTTACTTATGAGGAAAGAATTGCGTCCCACAAAACAAGATCCATGTCATTTGAAGATATAGAGCTCCCATGACATGCGGCATTCTTGTTTTTAATTTGAAGGCACCTTGAGAAACTGCGACGGCTATCTCAATTAAGAACAGCTTCAGGGTGTTCATCGCATACCACGAATGTGGACGCCATCAGAATCTAATGAAATGTTGGGTAACCACCATAGGAGTCCGACTTAAGATCGCTTCAGCCTATATCGCATGTACATATAGACCGGTTATGCTAATTTTGAAGACTTTGACACAAGCTGCATATTTTAGGATATGAGGTGATGTACAAGTATCTGACAGGTTCCATTAAGACGCATCGTCTCCCTTAAATTTACAAAGTAACTCCGAACTAATTCACTACATATTCATTTTAAAATGAATAACATATGGGTTAAATTAAATTGCAGAACCTCCCGTACTTCATGAGGCTCTTAAAAAAATACTCATCGCAAACGATATTGAAATAGCTATATGAATTGAAAGTAACAGTGATGTCAGGATGTCAAATGGAGTAACAGTGATGTCAAATGGAGTCAGGAGATGTAATTTTTTCAATTTAAGGGGGCAAACTATGAAACTATTTCTTGAAAATTTTAGCCATGTTGCTGTGACGAAATTCATCCATCTCTGGAACGTAGACATAGCTACAATAACAATTCCGTGGATGATAGGAAATTAGGCGGTATATATGAATCTAGCTACGTTCTGATATAGTCAGTACTGGCAGCCAGCTCCATGGAAGCATACATTTGGACCTATTTTTCCACTGATCATAAACTCTTGCCCCTAAAGCCCCTTTCACACAGGGCGGGAAATCCCGACGGCGTGAAAAAACCGCCGAGAGATTTCCCCGCCGAACGTCAGCGGACATACAAAATGTGCACTGCTATTCACACAAGACGGATTTTCACGCGGCGTGAAATTTCACGCCTGACGACCGCGCGTGTCAAGCTAAAACTGCGGCGGGATTTCCCGCGACAGTTTTGCTTGCAATGGTATTCAATGTTATCTTTCACACTGGGCGGTTTTTCACGCCGCTACCTAGTGTGGTACAGACAGTGGGTCGGCGAGGGTGTGTGTGAGAGTTAAAATACTTAAAAAAAAACTTGAAAAAACACGTTTTTCTTGTGGACTAAAAAGTAGAAAATAAATTATGGCTCGCCCCAAAAAACGTGGGTCGGGCAGATTTATGATTAAAGCGAAAAGCACACAACACACGAATTTTGGAAATTTGATGGTGAACGTACAGCCCGACCGACGTTTTGTGGGGGGAGCCATAATTTATTTTCTACTTTTTAGTCCACAAGAAAAACGTGTTTTTTTAAAAATTTTTTAAAGTATTTTATTTTCTCCTTTTTAGTCCGTTGCTACACATGAAAAACGTTGTTGCGAGCCAATTTACTTGACTTGACGTACATATATCGATGATACGCAACGTATCATCGATATACGCAGTCTAAACACGAATATCCTCTCGAGGATGACGTGCATTAAAGGTTCCCAACCCCTGCTTATGAGTTCCTTTAGAGTTTATAACTACTGCACAAAGGTCAGCCATCCTACATAATATTCATTTTATTTCAGTTGGCCACGCAAATGCACGAAAGAAAATTCTTTTCGAAGTTCTGTAGAAAATTGTATTCGAGGGGATACATTGTTGTTCCCGTATTTATCTGGGTACGTGGCTGTAATAAAGGTCGACATTTCATTGAATAAATACGCCTGGAAACGTGCGACAAATTATTGATTACTGTATTGTCATCGGGAGCTGAGCTGCCCTAAAAGTTTCAGAGCGCTAGCTAGCGGGAAAGTTGGTGAAATATCGATTGCAAGATTTGATCATCACAAACAGACAGACAGACGGACACGAAAGCGAGCTAAGAAAAACGTGGTAAAAACAGTTTTTCAGTGGTAGGCACGGCGTCTCATCTGCATGCTGTGGTGGGTTAATTTGCCTTGCACACAAGGCAATAACTCATCAAAACTTTCGGCAGACATTCGGAAATAATTGAAAAATTTTACTTCATCTTCTCTTAATTTTCAAAACAGTTCAGCAAATTTACCTTCTTGTGGCCTTGATTTTACTATATTGCGAACCCAGCTCCTCTTTTTCTTTCTTTGCTCTCTTTTATGCAGCAAATATAAAAGGAGAGCCTTCTTTTCTTTGATATGAGAAGTCATTTATAGATATCGTTCACAAAAACTGAGGACCACTTACGGAGAACAGCGCTGCAAGACTGATAGATTCCAGCGTGAAAAACCGTCTCGTGTGAATGATAGCGCGGGAAATCCCGCGGCGGTTTTTTTCACGCCGGCGGGATTTCCCGCCCTGTGTGAAAGAGGCATAAGAGTTAATGTAAACAGTGCTCGAGTTCTATGAATGTCTTCTGACTCACAATTCCAATTTTAAACGTTTCTCATCGCCAAGTTCACTTGACTTCGTTAAAGTATTGCTGCACTCGCTAACCGCCTTTGTACTGTGAGCGGTACAAAAACTAAAGCAAAACAGCATTTAACTTTTGAAATGCACAGAATGAGAGAATTTTCTTAATTTTCATTTAGTTTGAATTGACTAAACTCATATCTTCGCATTCTTTTACTGACAGGGCTGGCTATCGCTCCAAATCGTGGAGTCTGGCATTGTAAGCGACTCCTCGGAGTTCTGGATAGACGCCAGGTACAATGATACGGCAGAAATATGGTACTGGGCAAGCAACGGACATGTCGTTGACCTGAACTACATGTGAGAATGTTTTCCACTAAAGAATCTTATCACAAAGAATAAAAACCTGATCTTATGTATGGTTAGAGGTAATTTAAAATTCATGTGGATCAAGAAAATTTTACGTATTGACATAAAATCACCTTAGACTTCTTATTCTACTACCTCGAAAGTGCGTTAAAAATGCAAGTGACGTCTGTAAATTCAGAACACATTGCGTTTTTGATACGAGGTTCACGAACAGTGCATTTTGTGTGTAGGACGGGTGTCCATTGTCCAACCATCATTATTAAATAATGGCCAAGGCCTATAAATATTTCTGATTATTATATAATGGCCTATAAAACCCAGAATCAGGAATTGATTACGTGACTGCGTACTGAATAACATTATTTTAATCCTAGTGCTTGTATAATGTGCATGATGTAGTTAAATTACACATCTAGGAAATCAGATACAGTAGCTCTTAAAATTGTTCTATTTTTTCTCAGTTTTTTATAGTAATTCTAGAACCGCAGTATTTCGATGCCAAACGATATTGTCGTTCCGCATGTGGTATTTCATCACTTAGAGATGAAAAAATGCAATGCCATTAGTTCAAAGGAAATTTCAACGTGTTAGAAACTCCACTCAATTAATAACTACTGCCAGTAGTTCTTAATTTGTTTTAATTGACAATATTGATAATTGATAATATAATAGATAAAAGATGAGTTTTCAAGTGACACATTCGTCGCTGCGGAAACGTAGTTCCACATAATTTGATATGAAATAATTTTTTCGTACGAGCTAGTGAACACGAATCTTAGTGCGCGATAATCAGCGAATGTTTCATAAATAGTTTGAATTGCAATTTGTATATATACAAATCTTCAAAATTACTCTCTTGGATGGATGACAGATATGGGCTTTAACCGATCATAATGAAATCAAACCATTTAATTTTCCTAAGCAATTCCCTATTATCAGTACATTAGATGCGGAGCATAACAATTTTTATAATTTCAGACAGTTAAATCCATTTGAGTTTTAAAAGTAATCACTTGTTTTATAATCTCTCACATGCAGTCCCGAAGATAAGCGCCCGAGGGAAGGCGACTTCGGGGTGCTTACGACGGACTCAACTCTACTCGGTCATCATGAGTCTGCTCAGTACCACTTCATCTGCCATCGTCTTATCAGTAAAACTGTTTTGCTTTAAATATTTGATAACATATTCTTTGTTTCTGAAAACAGTTACAATTGCTTAAAAATTAGCGCCATCACTAATTACGTCCGCATGCCAATAACTTGGATGCCACAGTAGTGCAGCGATAGTGCATGAATTCCACTTAACATAACATAGTGATGTCGGCGCTAAAGTGTAGGCCTGATGTGGCCTGTCGCCGATTCTTTTCCTTTTCGTGCCTTGTTCATAGATCTAAACTCGTGTCATTTGACCGGATCTTTTCATGACTGGCGATTGTTTGAAGTAGCTACTAGACTTCCACCGGGTTCG